AAACATCCGTTAAATCACATTTTTCATCTGCCAAATGTACAATAGACGACAATTATAATGCCCGATGCTGGCAGTATAGCGACAGCACAGTCACTTTCTAAAACTTTTTATTATGAAAAGTATTAGATATACACGTAGATACAGAGTATTCCTGTGCTCAGCTTCAATAACCATTAACATTTTACCATATTTTTTTCATAATTCCTACCTTTTTTCTGCCAGACTTTTTTAAAGGAAGTCCCAGATACTATGTCATTTCATCCTTAAGTGATTCAGTAAACAGCCCCCCAAACAAGATATGACACCTAAGGAAATTCATGGTAATCCTTAATACATTATACTCAGTCCATATTTAAATGTCCCTAATTGTTTGCTTTTTAATGTCTTTTCACAGTTGATTTGTTTGCATCAGGATCCCAGCAAGGTCCATCCATTGTGTTGGTGGTTTTGTCTCCCACGCCTCTTGATTGACAAGAGCCCCCACCTCCCTTTCCCCTGCTCTTGCCTGGCGCACAGCCAGGCCATTTGTCCTGTGACTGTCCCAAGTCCCAGATTTGGCTGGATGCTTCCTCGTGGTGTCATTTAATTGGTTCCTGCATCTTCTTTATTGCCCCAAAACTGAAAGCTCTGGGTTTAGTGTGTTTTCTTGGAGAGAGACGGAGAGAGAGGGAGAGAGAGGGAGAGAGAGGACGCTTCCTGGGAGTTGCAGGGTCCTTCCCGCTGCACCTTAGGAGGGAATTCTGGAGGCCCTGCTGTGTGATGAGCATAGACCCAGGAGGGTAGGAAGCGACAGCCTGCCGGGTCTGGGAGAAGTTTCTTCTGCCTCCTGATCTGAGTTCCTTGTCTATGAGTGGAGAGAGCATTCCTGCTCCGAGGGGTCCTGTGGTTTCAGAAGTGAAAGCACAGACTGCAAACCGCTGTACAGACGCAGGTGGTAGGAATAAGGATGGTCTTTTTGGCAATTAAGAAAATCTTCTTTGGAAAAGGAGTTTCCTTCCCAGGCTCCTTTAACTGAGAACATGGCAATGCTGTTCTTATTGGGAAAAGCTTCCAGTATATTCGCGCAGACTGAAAACCACCAGCTTTTAACTAACAGAGTGGAGGAGTGATTAACCGCTCGGGGATCCCGGGCGCTCGAAGCTAAGGGGAGGTTAGCGCTACTCATCTGGGTGGCAGGTTTGCTGGTGGTCACCTGGGGGCACCACGGCTCCTCCGCCTCCCAGGCCAGAGTAGCGGGACGCTCCGAAGCGGAGGGAGGGGCCGCTGAGACGGCTCTGGGCCGGTTTCCTTCATCAAAAGGCGTCTGTATACTCCGGGCCGGAGCATCTGTATACTCCGACCCGAGATGAGCATTGCAGTGCCGTTTCATGAGGGTGGGGAGAAGAGTCTCTGAAAGGGATTTTGCTTATCGATTGTTAGGAGCAGACTTGCTGTTTAAATTTTAACAGTTCTCAGCACGCTGGCAATTCCAAAGCATGTGAATGAGCAAATCCTTCCCAAATCACTTTGTGTGCGTGTGTGTACAAGTCAGAGTGCCCACGAGATGGATCGGGTTCATCTGTATCGGGTTTCAGCTTCGTCTCCCTTCCTGCCAGGTCTCCGCTCTCCCAGTAGGAGAGCAAGACAGTGAGTGAATCAGGGTCCCCTAGGAGCCAGCAGAGGACCCGGCAGCCCCAGGCACAGGGAGACTGGGGCCCTGTGGTCAGTCAGCCTGGGTCCAGGTCCCACTACAGGGTACACACTCTCCAGAGCTGTTTACCCTCTGAGTGAACAAATGGAGAAGCAAAGGCTGGCTGGGGCCACGCCTGGGAGGGCTGGCACTGGGGCCTGAGGCCACATCCTGGGCACTCCTGTCCCTCCCTGCTGCGTCAACCTGTCAGTCACCTGCTTCCACCACTGTCCCCTTGACTTTACCTCTTCCTGAAATTTCTGTCATCGCTCTGTACCTGCCTGAGCAGGTGAGCTGTTCACTCAACAGACTCGAAATCCACAGGGAGAAACAGATGGAATTGAGGTTCTACTGAGCACTGTGTCAGCCGGGGTCCCTGTGGGAATCAGATGGCACTCTGGAATCAGAACAGTCAGGGAGGACATTTACAAAGGGAAAGCTCACCTAGGAGTGGGGGAGGGGAACGGCAGTAACCTGGGGCTGGCAGCCCAGCGAGCAGGCAGGGCGCCCTGCAGGACCCAGTGCACCGCTGCCCCCATGACAAGACAGTGAGTAAGGAAGGGCCCTGACCTGCTCTCCTCACCCCTGTGGCCTCCACAGGCCAGGTGGGTTGTGCCCAGAGCCCACGGGGAGGGTGCAGAGTGGATCTGGATGAACAGGGACGTCGTCGGCACCAGGATCCGCCGTGGGCCAGGCTTTGTGCCAGAGGTGTCCGTCACATTCTCTCGGTTCACACTCACCACGGCCTCCGGAGTTTTGTGGTACTCCTCCATTTAAATTTTTCAGTTGTGGTAAAATACACATAACATAAAATTGACCATCTTAACCGTTTTTAAGTGCACAGTGGCACTAGGTGTATTCACACTGGTGTGCAACCACCCCCACCGTCCACTCCAGAACTTACTCATCTTCCCAAATTGACACTCTGTCCCCATTAAACGCCCACTCCCCACTCCCTGCCCCTGCCCCTGGCACCCCCCCCTTCTAGTTCCTGTCTCTAGGGAATTTTACCGAGGACCCCATCAGTGGGATCACACAGCATGTGTCCTTTTGTGTCTGGTTTATTTCACTCAGCATGAAGTCCTCAGGGTTGATCCGTGTTATAGCAGGTGTCAGAGTTTTCCTTCTTTTTAAGGCTGAATAGTATGCCCTTGTGCGGATGGACCACATTTGTTTATCCATTCATCCTCAATGGGCACTTGGGGTGCTCCCACCTTTTGGCTACAGTGAATAATGCTGCTGTGAACGTAGGTATACAATAAGCCCTTTGAGACCCTGCTGTCAGTTCCTCGGGGTATATATTTTGAAGTAGAATCTGGATCTTACGGTAATTCTATTTTTAATGTTTTGAGGAATTACCCTACTCTTTTCCATAATGGCTGCACCATTTTTCACTTCTACCAACAGTGTACCAGGGTTCCAATTTCTCCACATCCTTGCCAACACTTACTATTTTCTGCTTTTTTGATAGCAGCCACTCTAACAGGAATGAGGTGGCTCTCGTGGTGGCTTTGATTTGTCCCCCATCTTGACAGAAGAAGCTCAAACAAAATTGAGCAACCGTTAGTGGAAGAGCTCACCAACCACTTCCATCTCTGTTTTCCTACCGCATGTCAGCTGTCTTCAGAATGAGAGCTATGTTTCCACTGAGGCTTGACTCGGCATGGACAGGCCCTGGTCCCACCAACCGCTGATGATAGCGAAGGCTCTTTCGTCTTCTGCTCCAAAACAAAATGAGATACATGCCTCTTTTCTGTCAGGGAGCCTACTTGGCTGTTTGATGATTCTAGGAGGGTCTCAGACTCCCAAAGTGACAGAGAAGTTGGTGTGAGTTTTTCCATAGCTAGCTGGGGATGCACATGTCGCAGTTTTTAAGGAAACATGAAGAGAAGGGAGCCTGTCAGCTGTAGATTACCTATTTCCCTGAAAATCAGAAGCCAAGAACATGACATGCCCAGCTGGTGGTGAGGACTGCATTCCCAGAAAGTCATTTTTGGGAGCAGCTTTATTTGCAATAATTTAAAAGATTCTTGCTTCGTAGCCCAACTGGCAATGTAACTTCAGAGCCGTGTAAGTTTTTTGTTGAGGAATCCAGCTGACAAGCTCCGACTCGGTGATGGACACTTCTGAACGAGGGTCAACAGAAGTTGCCATTGAGAGTTTCCTTTCATTTTAGAGCAGTTTGTAGCTATTTATTGTGACTCCTAGGGAAGCATTTCTGATGATTTCCCGGGTGCAGACTCGTGACTCCTCCCAGTTAGGTCCTCAGGTTTCTGCAGAAGTGGCTGCGATTTTGTGAGTGGCGTGGAGTGTGCGCTCTGCTGACACTGTGCCATCTGAGCATCGCCAGACGCCCTAGTGGAAACCACGCGTCACCGCCTTCTCACCATCTCCAATGTGGGCAAAGGGGGTTTTTCACCACTTCGAAGGAGCGAGAAGAACAGTCTGACTTCCACAAGAGTCTTTCCCCCACGTTTTACTCCCTAATACCTTGAAAAGCAGTTCGGGCATCAGAGCAATTCCGGATGGGAACTGACTGGGTGGGCAAAGCACCTGCCAGGTCTTGTCTGTTCCAGGGCATCACTCTGCACAACAATCAGGCCAAAAGCACACTTAAACTGCAAAAAAACCACGCCGACGTGGAGGAGCCCCAGAGCCTCCTGGAGCTGTGCAGGCGAGGGTCGGCATGGCTGGCATAGTCGCTCTGCACACCTGCCGGAGGGCTGGGTGCAGAGATTCTAAACTAGCTAGAAATTTCATCACGTTGCTCCAGCCAAAGCCACTCAGGGGTGTGGTAGTGTAATGGGCTGCCACGCAGATGGGCTGCAAAATGCACATCCCATCTGTCTTTATCATGCTCATTTCCTCTTTTATTAAAATGTTAATGAATATAGTTTTTATTTATCATTCGGTGACATGTGCAGCATCCTTTTCTGGGAGACAAATCTGCAATCTGCCTAACCATGTGAGCCGACAGCGAACTTTCCCCCTTGCATATTGAACACAGGGAAAAGGAACATTTTGGTTCCATTTAAACTGCCATATGCAAGATGAACAAAATACATCCCTTACTTGCTGACAGCAGCTTGGGGTGATGGGAGACACACTGGACTTGGAGCGGGAAATTGAGTTTAATGCCAGGCTCACCGGTTACTAGCCATGTGACCATGGGCCTCGGTTTCCACATCTGGTAAACGGGCATAAGCACCCCATCTCCTGGAGCTGCCATGGTGAACGAATGAGATCATTCGTGGGAACACATCTCGTATTCACTTGTACTATTGCAACATGTGCTCATATGGGTTTGAATTTGTTTTGCTCCTTCTTCCAGACTCGCCATGGAAAGTGCATCTGTCAAACGTTGGCCCCGAGATGACAAGCGTCACCGTGCGTGGCCTGACTCCAGCTCGCACCTATCAGTTCAGGGTGTGCGCCGTGAATCAAGTGGGCAGGGGCCAGTACAGTGCGGAGACGAGCAGGTGTGTGATGCGCTTCCCTCGGTGTGATGACGGGGAGCAGCCGCGCCTGAGCAAACAGAAGCACAGAGTTCGGTGAAAGAGTCACCTGACTATGTCCCCATCCTCCATCCCTGGTGACAGTGCCAGGACGCAAGCGGGAGAGTCTAACAGAACACACAGCTGGGCTAGCAGGGTTTCCTTAGCTGCTGTGAGGGAATTTCTTAGACTTCTGTGGTGCTCTGGCTGTGCCAACGTTAATTGTCCCTCATCGCACAGCCCTTGGTACACGTGAAATTAAGAGCCTACAGTGTTTAATGCCCTTTGTCCACCGTGCCTGCCAACCAGACGGGAGCAGGTGCCGCCGCCGTGACAAGTGGGCACCCAGCAGGGTGTTACAAGGGAAGCTGGTGCAGAGCAGGGCCTCCATGGTGGCCTTACATTCAGTCCCCAGGGACCTTGACGCTCACCCCAGCATGGCCGCCTTGGACGCTCCTTCAGATGTGATGTGGAAAACACCTTCCTCCCATTTCAGTGCCCCCCCCACCCCACCCCCGCCAACCTGAACAATGGGCGCGAAGTGGGGATAGTGGAGCTCTAAATGACTTTTTCCAAAATGTGGGAGTTTGCTATGAGAAATATTGAAAAAGCCGAGAAAACAATTTGAAGGCACCTCCGGCCAGCTCACTGAGGCTTGTAATCCTGTTAAAGAGCAGAGGTGCTGGGGCTGTTTAGACGGAGTCAGCTCACCTCCTACATCTGCTATTGCTTGCTTAACTGACTTTCTATTATGTTGATTGGTTGTAACTATTTCATGCATGTCCCTTCAGTTTGATCAGCTGTGTGCTTCGCTTTATTCATCACTTGATTTTAGGAAATAGTGAGGCTCCAGACTCAGCAAGGCAGAGAGTGCAGATGAGCATGCTTGCTCTGGTGCTGACCTCTCCCCTCCCATCTTTTTTCTTAGGTTGATGCTCCCTGAAGAACCACCCAGTGCTCCCCCGAAAAACATCGTGGCTAGTGGGCGTACCAACCAGTCCATCATGGTACAGTGGCAGCCGCCCCCAGAAACAGAGCACAATGGGGTGCTGCGCGGGTACATCCTCAGGCAAGTAGCCTGTGATTGGCCGTTTTTAAACTGTCATCAGGCAGAGTCAAGTGTCTGCTCTGCTGAGGTCGCCAACCCCATTGTTTGTAGGGGCCCAACAGTAATGCGGAGAATCAGGGCAGCTGTAGGACTCCAGGGAGTGGAGGGGCTGCAGCAAACCGGAGAGAACAAGGAACGTGGGCAGCCTGGCAGGCAGTCTCTGCGCAGCCGCCCGAGTGCGCACACGAGCCCGGGTCCCTGGCTGTGATTGGCAAAAGGAGGAGGGGAATATTATGGGCTGGGAGCGAAGGTGATAGTCACTGTAATCCCTTCATTCTATCTGAGTTTGTACCAGGGGCATGCATTGTTAAATATCATAATTTGAGTAATAATGCAATTGATTTAATTATTAGCCAGCTGTTACCATGCCAATGTGTTGTTCAGCATTGCCAGGTCTTCTAGGGTTTCAAAGAAGTGTAAAAATCTAGCTTTCTACATTCAGTCTCACAATTTTGGAACACTGGAGATGAAATCAGTGTCCTTTGAAGCACAGGGCAGGCCACACACCTGGGCCGGCCATGGTCCCCAAGCAGCCGGCTGGCCAGTCACACGGTGGAGGGCGGGGAGGCTTCTAAGACTGGGAAGAGGACTCTGCCAGGCTTGGGTGGGTTTGAGAGAAGAAACCTCCTGTGCCAAAACCTCTGCTAATTTTAAAATGGCACCGAATGTGATAATTGCAGAGGTTTGTTGATACAAATAAAAGAAAAACATGAAGCAGTACTAAAGGATGATTATTAAACCTCTTCTAATGGATGTACAGCTGTGGCTGTGTTTGTTGGTCCGACGTGGACTTGGACCCCTTGCCAGCCTTACGGGGGAGGAACTGTAGGCATTCATCATTCCTTCCTTTGACTGCCTAGCCCGTGCCCATTCTCAGCGTGTGACTGGAAGACTCTGGGGTAACAGAGGTCTTAAGTGAATAAATGTAATTGCTTAGGTAAATGTAAGACCATATGGAATTGCTGCTTCTTTAACTCCACCATCTTTGCATATGGAGGACACCTCATCCCCAGTATGTCTTTATGTCAGCATCCAATCATCATGTCACACGTGTTGGTCTGTATGCTTGTGGCGTCTGCCTGTCACGGCCATTTCTGTGCTGTCCTCAAGCTCTTTCGCACGCATATGAATTAGCCCCTCAGCACACACAGGTCATTATCTGCCTGAAATGGCTTGACGCAGCCATCCCTGGGGCACACGGAGGGCTGCAGGACTGGAATCAGCCCTGGGCCCCTTCGGCGGCTGTGCCCCTAACTGCCCTCCCCCAAGTCAGAGGGGTGAGAGCACTGCGCTCTGGCCCCTGCAGGCAGGGGGCGCTGTGGGCTGCGGTTCCTGGCCCTGCTCCAGGCACCTTTCCAGTCCCTCCGAGACAGCCTGGACGCCACGCTCTCTGGAGGCTGAGGTTGTCTGTCGTATTCGTACCGCTCGCTCCGTGTGCCAGCTGCCACGCTCGCTCCACATCCATCAACGAACGGAGCAATCGGCTTCGCCCTCTCGGACCGGCCCTTCGCGTGAGCGCCGTCCCAGCTGCCTCTGTCTTTTTTTGAGCACACGGAGGAAAAGTTTCCTCAGGCTCCAGCTGCCAAGTAAGGACTTTAAAAGTCAGCCCACAGAACCAGGCTCAGGGCATGGAGTTTAATAAGAAAATCCCTCTGATGTTATGAGGCCCCATCGGAGACTGCACATTTCTCTATTTTGTGGGATTACTACTGTTAAAAGGATTTTCCATGATGGTGTCGGTAGAGTCGAGTGCTGGAAAAGAGGGCATCTGTATTTGTAGGGGCTTAACTCCAGAAAGCTCTAAAATGAGGGTGCACTACCCAAGGCCTGTGAGTATCAAAGTTTTCAGAAAGTTAAGTCCCGTGCCAAAATGCATTTGCTTGGGAACATTTCCGAATAATCCTCCAGTCTGCAAATCAGCTCTATTTGCAAGCCTGTCTCCTCCAGGGCACATGTCTCCCTGTCAGATCTGCAGCACCACCCATGGAAGAACAAAATGGAAATAAATAACAGTCGGGGCTCCAGCCGTGAGAAGTAGTTAGGACGCGTGCACAGTGATAAAATATTTATAATAATGGGCAGGTTGTTTCTTTGAGAGGAGCAGAAGGGTTATGTCCTTTATAAACACTCTCCTGTTATTTCCGAATAAAAAATCATCCTGTTGTGTCCGAGGCGGTCTCCGGGGCAACCACCCCACCAGCCGGAAGCCGATGCCCTGCTCTTCCGTTATTAATTGTGACCTTCCTCGACATTCCGTGACTGCCCCAGGAGCGCCCTGAGCCACGGTCAGAACGAACCAGCCGCCACCACAGGGGAAGAGCAGCCCATTTCCAACTCGAACTCTGCGGTTTGTTTTGCACAATCGTGTAACCGGGGGCCTGGAGAAGACGTGTGGCCCGCGCAGGCTTCTTATAACCCAGTTCTGTGTTAGCGTACTTCCTAGAAGAGCAGTCCTTTCAAACAGAAGGATATTTAGGGGGTGCTTTACAGCAGCGCCTCTTTTGCATCCCTTGTTTCTTTTTGTCCGTGCAAGAACCCTGTGAGATGACATTGTTACTGTGTCGTTTAGGGAGGTGGAAACCAAGGCTCAGGGAGGTTAAGCATTCGCCTGAGCCCACCCAGCTCATAGGCCTCTTCCCAGCCTAAGTCATCTGAAGCTAACTTCAGTGCTTTTCCCTGGAACGAACCTTGGAATGGGTCCCCACAAGTCAGCTCTTCTCCAGCGCCCATGCCCAACATGTGCCACATCAGTGATACGTGGTCCTGGGCACCATTCACACGCCAGGATGCTCTGTGTCTAGTGTGGGTGTGAGGCGGGTTTTCACCTTTTTCCAAGCAGCTGCCTGATTGTCTCAGTACATGCTTTGTGCCTGGGGAACTTGAGTAGAGCCACCCGGCACACAGGGCGGCTGCTCCACGCCTGTCCTTTCTCCCTGGTCCCCACTGCCGTGGAGACTGTCACGTTACGTAAATGAACTTAACCCCCACCGTGAGTGGTGCCCACACTTGCTTGTGTGGCTCAGTAAAGGGATGCCAGCTCAGCAGGGGTCACCAGGGTAATGGAGTATGAATGAAAGTGTTGTGTGGCACAGTGTTTGCAGAGTGACACTGTTGTCCCCGCGCCTCCCACAGCCCGGCTGCAGAGCCCACAAGCTGCTGCGCCTCTCAGGCCAGAGGCAGGAGAACGCCTCGGACCTTCTCCGATTCCGATGCTGCCTGCCGTGGTCACTGTTTGCCTATCAAGCCAGCCTCACCGAGTACAAGTGAAAGGAAAGACCACTCAGAAAACCCTGGTTTTCTAGAGAACGTTTTATTGCCATTTCCATACTTCCTTCGGGCATCTTCACCCTGTTTGGAGCGCTGCTTTCCACTTACGGGTCTGAATTTGGGGGCTTCTTCTCTTTTCTAATGGCGGCAGCCTTGCTGACATGCTGCTGGCCCTGAGGACAGTGCAGGTGCCTGCCCGGCACTCTGCGCCCAGAGTCACTCGGCGTCAGGGAGGAGCCTGAAGACCCCATCCTGCCGTGAAGAGCCGATGGACTCGCTGCTGGTTCTGTGTCCGTTTGCCACTTGTCTTACAAAGCCATGTCTTCCTGAGGCACGAACCACCCGGCTAGCTTCAGGATGCTTTGGAAGCTGCACTGTGACGGAGGACACGCCTCCCGCTGTCCATGCCCCTCCCTTTACCCAGAGGAACCAACTAACTTCTGGGAATGGAATCAGAAAAACATCTGCTCCTCAAAATAATGCTGTAAAAGTCCTTTTAGTACAGATACCCATTTCCTAACTTACACAGTGACTGAGTCCAGAGTCCTGTGTGTCATTTAAAATAAAGACAACTTTAAATTTCTTCCTTCAGACGCTATAGAGCCTATGACACACGTGCTCACAAAGGTCCCCTAAAAAGCATCTGGTCGTACTTAGCTTCAGGCTGGCATTTTGGTAGCGTGAACATCTTTCAGAGCCACTCACTCTGCCTGTGGGACCTGCTTGAACAAACCTAAAATTCCTAAGTGGAGGCAGAGCTGGGGCTCCATCCATGGGGCAACGGGCCATTTTCACTTGCTTCCCTATTTCTCCCCACGTCTCAGAGTCACAGGAGGGAAACATTACCCAGAATGATTGATAGCAATGCCCCAACAGAAACCAGGTCAGGAATTTTGGGTGCCAAGTCCCCATACTCCATAGACAAGCTACACTTAAGAAGCTACAATTTTTCCTTAACCGTTAATGCAGTCAAATTTCAGCTCTGCTTTGCCCAGAGCGTATCATGGCAGTGAGGTTGGATGATACCTTTCTAATGGTTGAATTAGAAGGTAGTGTTGTCTGGAGCGGGAGTCTTGGCCTTACTTGTGTGTATTAATTTCCGTTTTCCTCTAACCGCGTGGAAGAATTGCAGGGAGACCCAATTCCTGGCTCACTCGTTTTCCTGCGGTCTGCAGGTACCGCCTGGCCGGCCTGCCCGGAGAGTACCAGCAGCAGAACATCACCAGCCCGGAGGTCAGCTACTGCCTGGTGACGGAGTTGATTATCTGGACACAGTACGAGATACAGGTGGCCGCTTACAACGGGGCTGGCCTGGGCATCTTCAGCAGGGCAGTGACCGAGTACACCTTACAAGGAGGTAAGCCTGCCTTCCCAGCACGTTGCAGAGTGTTTGTCAGGGGAACACATGCCAATCAAACTGCAAAGGAAAACAGAGGATTCGACCCTTAAGTTGCAATTAGAAGGAAATTGGCCACATATTTAAGTTACTCTCCCCATCTATTCTGAAACTATAGCAATATGGTAGTAGGAAATAGACAATATTTTCACTGCTTTTTTTCTTATTTCCATCTACACACATCCTTTAACTACTCCTCTTAGTCGGCAAAAGCTCTGTGGACTTATTGTTCTAAATGGAATAATGGTATGTTTTGCGTCTTTGGAGTCCTATGTGATACTGTGAATGGTTTTCAAAGAGAATGGTTATTTAGAATTTTGATTTTAGTGATGTGATATGATTATTGGTAATGGAATTTGCCACTTGGTGCATTTTTTTTTTTTGGTTTTCTGTTTCAGTTACACAAGCAAACAATTTACTAGATCAGTAAAAACTTTTCCCCCAAAATGGCCAGGCAGAATGTCATAAAGCCAGTGGGTCTTCATCTTACATCCTAAGACACAACCCTGTCACTTTGAGGCTGTAAAGCATCTGATCCCCTATGTTTTGTGGAGAACGCTGGGCTTGGCCCCACGAAGAGCTGGGCTCTTAATAATAAGCGGTCCCTCTCTTGACACAACTGCACATGTCCACGGCTGCCCAAACCCTTGCCCAGGGAAGCAGTGTCCCCATAAAACCCAACGCCCTTTTCCAGGCCCCCTCCTGGCACGCAGGTGTGGTTTTATTTGCTGAAGCATTTTTATTGCTACCAGGGCTTGACCTTTTTCAAATGAGAAGGATTCTAACTGCCCGCTTCTCTCCCCAAATCATGCCTGAGACCTAATGTTCCTTGATATTACATGCTGTTATTATCATCCTTTATTGATTGGCTGTCTGTTGTCATCGCGGAGTCCATAAATCCTCCTTTATAAATTAAGTGCAGTCAGTCTGCTTTCACAGTGACGAGCAGAAATATGTAAAAAGCGAGGCAGGCAGGAAGGACCTGCTCATCTGCAAGTGGTTCTCAGTGACTCCTTGGAAAATGAAAATACCTGCAAACCTGGGCAGCTCATGTTCGCTCTAATTAGTCTACTTCATAAAATGACCATAGATCTGGCAACCCTTAAACGATGATGCTTGCTGTTCCTGACCCCTTGTTGCCGTCCACATCACTGCTCCGTCTCACCGCCGGCGAGCTGGGTTCCGTGCGAAGGGGGCAGGGCGCCCTCCCCTGACTGACAAGGGCTTCGAGTCTTCCAACTTCAGCTTCTGTGCAGTTGCCTTTGAGGAGCCATGAAAGGTCTCGAGCTGTGAGTGACGTGATCAGCGAGCGCTCGTCCGTGGGTGTGCAGGCAGGGTGGAAAGGGAGCCGAGCAGGGCGGCAGTGTGGCTGTGAAGTGACAAGTCCCTCCAGCCCTGACACCGGCGGCGAGAAGGACCAGGGAGGATATGTCTGCTGGTGCCCCCATTGTCGGCGTGGCTTCCCACCCATTCCCTCTTGTGCGCCTCGCAACCACCTGTCACGTGAGTCTGGTTGGGCCCCGCGAGCACTCTTGTCCCAGGCATCCTGTGCCTGAGTAGCCGCGGCCATGGAAACAGGGCTAGAGCTCAGCCCCTCCCTCAGATTGCTTGCAGTTTACAGGGCAGACCAGAGCTGGGTTTGTTGGCCATCTTTTACGCACAAGGACCCTGAACGCTGGCCAGCTCGACTTTAGCTGACCAGAACCAGCCTGCTAACCAGTGGCAGGAGCGGTGCGAATGCCAGCTTCTGAGTCAAGACCACTGTTTTCTGGGTGGCATCTGTGGGACTTCAGAGGGGATTTGGGCCACACTGGTGGTGGCCTGACCACCCAACTAGCCTGCCAGGGTGTGGGGCTCTGGGACATGGCGCTGGAGGGTGGGCCCCTACTTCCTGCCTCACTTTCTACGGTGCCTCCTGCTTAGGAGTCAAACCCAGAGGACACAATTTCCAGGCATAAAACCGAGCAACCGTCTGCCTCACGACTTGCCGCCTGCAGAGCGCCTCAGGAGCCGCCATAACTGCCCCCGCTGGAGTTAGCAGAAGCTGGGCGCCCGCAGCCGCTCTGGGCCCCTCGCTCGGCGGGTCTGTCTGGGCCGTGGCCGAATGTGTATTTGCTGCTGGGAACCCCGCTCGGCACACAGGTGTCCTGCGGCTGTTGGCACTGATTGTTGAGAAAGCCTGGAGGGCAGCGTCTGTCTTCCAAGCTAAAAGCAAATAATTAAAATGGGTGTATATTAAAGGGAAAAAGAATAACTCATGAAGTTAATGACTTGTCAGCCTAACTCGAGGAATTAGTGGAATGTCCATGCACGTAATTCTGGGGTCTGTCAGGAGGGCTCTGGAGAAGCAGGAAATCCTCAGCCTCAGGAGACTGGCACTTCAGTCCAACCTGCCTCACTTTCCTTCTCTGTTCGTCCAAGTGGCGACTTTGACCCATCAGGGGAAACAAGGCATCATTTACCTTGGCTTTAATAAGGCTCGTTGGATGTAGCTCCTCTCTCGAAGGCATGGGGGTGCTGGGGAGAACTGGTGGGGCTCCCCGTCCCAGCAGGTGGCTGTGTAACTTACAAGGGACGCAGTAGGCACCGGGGAGGAGACAGAAGGGTCCAGGGGCTGCTCTCCCTGCCACCAGCTGCAGAGATGGGACAGGAAAGCACTTTGCCCCAGGCAGATGCAGCATGCTCACCCCCCAGCCCAGTTTTGGTCTCAACTGTGTTTTCTTCAAGGAAGTTCCCGGCAGGCACCGTTATTCCAGCCTCAGTTCAGCCAGCTGTGATGTTAATCCCTGAAGGGACCCAAACACCCCTTCCCCCATCACACACCCCATTTTTCTCTTCAATTTTCATTTCCTATTGAGATGTAGTAAAAATGTCTGGTTTGTCTGCTCTGGTTTTTCACAAGTTCTCGGCCTGACTGACACCACGATCACAGCCATTGTTTAATGTAAATCTCCTCACCTCCCTGGCTTTTCACACCCCCTCCGCTCACTACCCACCATGTCCGTCTGCCAATCCTACTTTATAGCTTTTATCAGCAGCGTCTCCAAGACCTTTCCTGCTCCCTGCATTTTAAAATGTGACACATTAACTTACAAACTGGGCAACAACGCTTGAATACAGTTGCAGCCAGGTTGGAAGGTCTCTCTGCCACAGTGACTGCAGCCTAAAATCCCAACAGAGTTGGAGCCTGCCTGTCACACTTCCACTGTGGTTACCCAAAATGAAATGGAAAAGAGTTAAATTTACTCGAGAATTTCTTTCAAAACGCTTCCTAAAATCAGTGTGCTTTTGGTCTCAAGTGGAAGAGCCCTAGCGTGTGGGGTCTGCATAACGGGGCGTCCAGGGCCACACGGGCCTCTTCGGCAGCTGTCCCATCGTTGAGTTCGGAGGGACAGTGCTACGGCCGTTTGAAGCCATCAGTAGGTCAGACTGGATGCCAAGGCAGCGTTTGGTTCCGAAATTCAGGTTTTGTTAACAATTGTTCAGCTTCCCTTGAAAGACGCAAGAAGAAATAACATGGCTGTGCAGTGCACAGGAGACCCTGAGTGTGGGGTCACACGCCGTGCAGTGCACAGGGGAGCCTGAGTGTGGGGCCACATGCCATGCAGTGCACAGGGGAGCCTGAGTGTGGGGCCACACATGAAAGCACACCATGTAAGATGCAGTTATGTCCTCCAGCGTACCAGCAGAAATTAGCGGCCTCCTCTCCTTCCCCTAAGTGCATCTGTTAAGATACAGATGTTGGTTTTCCTACAAAGGGTCCAAAGACAAATCATACTATAAATCATCATTTTGAGCACACCAAGGTTTTAGGTTTTTTTCTGGTTTTATTTCTTTAGCATTTTTGTTCGTGTAACAGGTATTTTTGTGCTACGATGATTTATTCTGGTTTCAGAACATTACCTTCTAATGAAAGAGAAATATTTCATATTTAAAAAGAAATGGAAAAAACATTTGGTTATCCACATTTCTAAAGCATTAGTAAAAGCTCCTGAGTGTGCACTTGGGCTTCAAAGCGCTTTCTGGAGTAAGGGTTATAAATGAGCACTGTGTTTGCAAGCCCCATTCTTATCTCCTCTTGGGAACTTCTCAGTGTGGCGTAAATGACATTGCACAAAAGATTTCTCTCTCAATCCTTAAGGCTTTCTAGACCTCAGGCTGCACCTACAGAATAGGATAATGTTCCAACCTAAAGCACAAGGTAAGAACTGAACAAAATGACAGGGGATGTTCCATTAGGTAGGGGCTTATTGTGGCCTTAGAACTCCTGGCAAAGGAAAGGAGCGCGTGAGAGGAGGCCGCTGCCTGCCAGTTCCCACTGCCCTGTGCTCGGCACTTACCCTCGGCGTCTCACCTCCTTCATCCTCCAGCCATCCCGTGAGGTGGGCATCCCTGTGTCTACTTGACAGAGAATCAAATGGAGTCCAGGGAGTAACTAACTCTCCCCAGGTCAGATAGCTAGAAATGCTGGGAAGTGCTGGAATTTACAAGCATGCTGTTGTTCATTCTGTATATATCAAACATGGATAAAATTACTTGCAGGTTTTCACTGTAGCTTCTATATGGAATAGGAAAGAAGTGAGGTCTCATCTTACTTATGTTCACATGGCTGATGGGTTTGCAGTAGCTCGTGCACATTTTTAACTGCAGTCCACAGTAAGAAATTTATTGCAAACCAGTGTGCACGCACGCGCACATGCACACACACACACACACACACACACACACACACACACAACTGAAACAAAGGTTCATGGGACAGTAGTCATCCTTGCAGGGTATGATGTTCTTCAATATTTTCTATTCCATTCCCTTCTCTTTCATCCTTTAACAAATGCTGACTGTGTCCACTAAATTGATTTCCTGGTCTGCTAAGGCATTTGTGACCAGCAGTTTGAAAACCACTGAATTCGAGCACTTACTGGGCGTTTGGCTGGGCTGGCCTTGCATCCTGTTCAGGA